TAGGAGTGAAGCCCACCAGCTGGGGCATGCAGATGTGTCTTGGACACCAGTATGTGTATTCCTGGCTCATGTATAGTTGTGTGCCAGAAACTTCTACACAGGCAATGTCCATGTGCTTGCTGTGAATGCACTATATATTGGTCCATTGACATTTGTATACATGCCTATGTTTTGCATGTGTGCATATGTATGCACATGGGTGTGTGCATGCTTATGCATTTGTATGTGTGGAAGTGTGTATATGTGTGCATTGTGCCTGCATGCATGTTGACATTACCCACTTGATAGCACAGTGAGAAGAGGCCTGAACTGATAGGAAATCTGAGGACTTTGCCTCTCATTTGCCTTGTGCTTTCTCTTGGGGCACTTTCTGTCTCATGATTTTGTAATTCAGGAATCCCTGAGGAAACTTCCAACACTGACACTGCATTAAAAGACTGGCCTAAAGCATTTGGGGAGGGGTGGAGGCTGGCAAAGTCCCTAGCCCTTCCCCTTTCTACAGGTTGCCAAAGAAGAGACCCCCTCCCCAGAGTTCAAAGTGAGAGAGGACAGTGGAGGTTTCTGGTGGGAGTGAGGAGGGATGAAGATACTCCGCCACCTCCCACAGATGGAGATGAGCATATTCTTCCACTTGAACCCAGTGTGACATCCAGACTAAAAGGGTCCAGGCTCTGAGGTGAAGCTGGAGAGGACATCTGAATGCCTCCCTGCCCTTGTCTGCCTCACTCCCCTGTATGGTGGAAGCAGAGGATAGTGGGTTGGCTAGATTGCCAGAAGAATGGCCTCTCTCATTCGCACAAAGGAAAAACCAGGCTGACCATGGAAGGAATTGATGGCCACCCCTGACAGAAGCTGCGGTAGACACTTTCATCCAGGGTGCAGAGTCTGGCCCTGGCCTGCATCTCCTGGACCTCTGGGAGTCAGCCAAAGCTCACCTGCCTTGCAACTTACCCTTTTGGGGCCTTTTGTCTACTGAATGTGTGTGTTGGGGTTGGGGGTGTCCTGGGGCACAGTGGCCTCCTCCATGGTATTATCTCTGGAAACCCTGCCACAGGTGACAGATGGGTGTGGGGCCCTGGGAGAGTGCAGGCTAACAGGCCACTCCTCTATTCCCTGGGCAGCCCCATCTAGGGAGCTTAAGAACTGGGTACACATACATACACCCACAGACATCAAACAATCACTGCTAGAGGCCATATACCCAAAGCACACACTTCCACCTCCCAAACCTAAATAAATATACTCAGTACCATGCCTATACAAATGCCCACACACAGTACAACCCACGCATACATAAGCCCACGCAATCACACCAAGCAACCCCACACTCCCAAATACCACAACACTCTCTCCTTCCACTTTCCTCATGCCTTCCCTCAGCCCCATCCATGGCCTTCTCCCTAACCCTACTGAAGAAAAGAGAGTTTCCAGCAAGAAAACAGAGACCTTTGCCCTCAGAAAGAACCAGGGATCAATACTGTTTAGACTCAGCTAGCATGTATTTCCTTTTAGACTGAGGAAGATTTAAGTTTATGGTTCAATTCAATCTTTAAAAAAAAAAAAAAAAAAAGGAAAAACAGAAAATGAGGAAGTTGGGACGGCGTGCTCAAGTATTTATTTCGCTGCAGCCCCAGACCTTAATACACAGGCAGCTCACTAAGCCAGCCTCATAAATCAGAGAAATCAATGCCCGTTTATGATCATTATTAGTTTCTTTTTTTTAAAGGGCGTGTAAAAAAAGGTCCCACCAGAATCCTCCTCCACTTCTCTACTCCAATCAGAAGGAAGGAAAAATGGAGAGAAGATGAGAAAGTCATCCTGGATGATGGCTTCAGGGCCTTGGCCAGATCCTTGAGGTAGATACGACTTAGACACCCATAGTCAAGGAGGAGGCACAAACAAAATGTTTAAGTTCTCAGAGCTTCATGTTCTTTCACTGAACAATGAAGAAAAATCCACTTGCCCATAGTGATTGGACGATTAAAGGAGATAATGGGCAAGAAACCAAATTACATAATAATGACACTCACATCTGTACACTTTACTGTCGCAATCATGGGGATGAGTGACCACCTTCTCCCCCTCTCACTGGGTTAAAGGGAAGAGCTCTTGGCTTTGATCTCTTGGATAGAGGAAGGGGAGCATGAGGAATGGGGTGGTTCCTGGAGTCGCTGCTCACACTGGGCTCTGTCCCAGCCTCTGGACCTGGCGGTCTTGGGGGACTTGGATATCCTAAGGGGCCACAATAGGGAGGGGAGAAGGGAGTGTAGCCAATTCCCAGACATTCAAAAATAGTAAGGTTCTCCAATATATAGAGTTGAGCATCCTTAACATCACATCTGGATGTTCTGGGAGGGTGAAACGGAATGGGACTCTTCCTGAAATTCCGAGACGGCTGTATGAAGGGAAGGGTGCTCCAAGACCCAGGCATCAGACTGTTTAACAGGAAAGCCTGCAAGGCTTGAAAATTCCAAGCCCACTCTGCAAGGAAAGCAAAGCACAGGCTTTTGACTACCAGAAAACAACTCCCCTGGACCAACCCCAGGGAAGGGTCCAGCTCGCTGCTTCTAACTCTGCCCACAAAGATTGGTTGAGCACCTATTATATGCAAGAGTTACTCAACACTCCTCCAGAAAACAATGGGCAGATGGAAGGAAGGAAATTAATTGCAATAAAGTTGGGAACCCACAGCAGTGTCAAATGCACTCTCCAATTCCACTCCAGGCCACTGAGCCCCCAAACTCTTATGTAGGGATTTAGAGGAGACCTAGGCTTCCTGGGATTGAGATCTAGCCCTGTTAGTTCCCTGGCCAGGAGCGAACAGTACATTGGGCCAAATCAGGGGAAATTTTTCAATAAAAAAGGTGGAATAACTAGCCATTATCATTTCACACAAAATCAATCCTGCAAAAACAATTAAGAAACTCAAGCGAAGAGCACAGAGAACAGGGTTCTCACATGTGCACAAACCCAGCAAACACACCTGCAGACATTCCAGTGTGCAAACACAAATTCATGCATGTACACACAGTGAACTCACAAACATCCAATTGTGCATCTCATTAGAGAAGAAAATCAGTTGCACAGTCCTCACGGGTACAGGAACACACAAAAAACTGGTAGGAACTTAGGTGCACCAATATCTGCACATTATTATCATATATGCACACAAGTATGTGTGGACACCTGCCTGTCTAGCTGCACACGTTTGGGTATATACATACATATTGCAGGAGAGAGAAAATAATGTGGGAGTGGAATTTACAATTTTTAAAAATCCTGGACAAAGGACAGAGAATACCTCCTGAGAAGGAAACTTCCCTTCCTCCCCTTAACTTCTTAAGGTCTGAGAGCAGCTCCTGCCTTGGAATAATGGACCCCAGTGTTAGCAGCAAGAGGCCAGACATTTCCTTCTGGGAACCCAGGGTGTCCTGAGGGCCCTGGGGGCTTCTACGTGCGCCCCCTCTCCTTGGTGAAGAAGAAAGTTAGGCTTTGTTGGGATGCTTAAGGGAACCCTCTTAGGTTTAGGGCCCAGACACAGCAGACCCGCGCCCACCTCGGGTTCCAGGCACTCCGAACAGCTTTCCCAGCATCTGGGCCTTCTCTCCTCCCGCATTGTGGGACCAGGAGATCCGAGCCCCGCGAGACTCCGCTGGCTGCCCCGGGACCTGCTGCTTCGCCAACAGAAGCCCTCCCCCAAACGAAGTGCAGTGAGTCCAGGCGGCCGAGAGGCCATGCCAAAGTGCCCCTCGCCCAAGCGGGCTGTTGGGTAGGGAGGAAGGCAGGCCCCCTTCTATCTCTGGATGAAAAAAATCTGCAGCAAAACCTGCACCAGAGGGAATAAAAGAAAAAAAGAAAAAGAAAAGTGCAGGTTGGAGTGAAGAGCAGGCTGTACAGGAGGAAGCCGCTGCTGGGCTGGGCCTGGACCGGTGCGGGGAGCTGCCCGGCAACCCGGGCAGCATTTCCGAAGCCAGGACTGGGTTTGCCGGCCTTTGAGTTCCCTTGAACGCAATCGGAAACCAGGCGTCTCCCGCCAGACCCTTCAGACCCAGGCCAAATCCGAATCTGGGCCGTGCTTCCCCTTCGCCCCTGCATTGGTTGTGCGGTGATCGCAAGGCCCCGCCGGCTCCCGGCCCGGCGTGCGCAGGGGCGCTGAGACGCTGTGTGCTCGGACCCACGCCCTTCCCGAGCCCGCAAACAGGAGGGCCGCCAGCGCTCGTGAGCACAGTGTACACTTTATTTCAGACTACAGGTTTCTGAACATAATAAAATCTTTGGCTTGTAGCGGCGGTTCAGTCTCGCAGTCCGTGGGGTCGTATTTCTCAACAAGTCTTCGGAAAACGAAAGGGGGGCAGAACAGACAGACCGACAGAAGGGGCCCAGGAGGTGGGGGAGAGGAGGTGAGCAGACACGCAAGGAAACACACTCACGCACACAAAGAAAAGTCCCAGAGAAACCAGGGCCAGCGATGCGGGTCGGGAGGCACCGGAGAAGCAATGACATTCAAATGAAAAAGGCAACGAAAACGAAACTGGGCCGGGGGCAGCGAGGCAGAGGGGGAGGGGATAAAATAATTATAATAATTATAATAATTATAACAATAATAATAAAGGAGATTAATAAAAATGTCCAGCAAATAGAGATCGCTACACGTATGTGTTTTCCTTACCTGAAATTAAATATATACAAGGTCGTAAGCGGTTTGGCTAGATAGAGCTTTAAGGAGTTCGCAGTTTCGTCCCTTATACTGTGAATAGAGAATAGATCTTATTTTTCGATAGCACCTGTCCGAGTCTTTCTCCCTTTTCAAAAATGCTGCGTTTCAACGTCATTGTCCATTCTGAGGCTCTCTTTCTGTCTCGCTCGCTCTTTTCCCTTCGCTCCCTCCCTCCTTTGAGCAGATGCTTTCTCCCCCAGCGAGGGGCCGGGAGGCGACGGCGGCGGTGCCGGGAGGGGGCGCGGGCACGGCGGCCTGACCGCGCGGCCCCGGCCGGTGGCGTCTACTCGCTCTCGTCTTTGTCCTGGACCGTGGTGGTGGAGTGGTTGTACAGTCCCTGGGCCATGAGGTGCAGCGCCAAGCCGTTCTTAATGCCTGTGGCTTTCTTGATCTTGGCGCGCTTGTTCTGGAACCAGATCTTGATCTGGGACTCGTTGAGGCTGAGCTCCTGGGCCAGGGTCTGCCGCCGCTGCTCCGTGATGTAGCGGTTTGCCTGGAACTCCGCCTTGAGTCTCTGCAGCTGCTCGGCGGTGAACGCCGTCCGCGGCCGCTTGTCCTCCTTCTCGTTCTTCTTCTTCTTCAGCTTCCTGGTGCGCGGACCTGCAGCGGCGGAGAGGGCCGGAGTGGGGGTGGGGGTGGGGACGGAGGGCAGAAGGGAGGGGGGAGAGGGCAAAGGAAGCGGTGAGAATTGCATTGCCGAGCTGGGCCGCGAGCCCCGCGCTTCCGGGGCCATCTCGGAGGCTCTGCTGAACCCCTGGCTCCCTCCCGCCGGCCAATCCCTCCATCAAAGTGCCCCTCGCCAGACCACTGCGGTCTCCGGGTTCCCTTTGGGAGGGCAAAGGGTGAAGGAAAGTTGGTTGAGGTTGTAGGTACACCCCACACCCCAATTCTCACAGGACAGTCAGGGACAGACCGAAATCACAGCATTTTCCGGCCAAGAAGGAAGGAATCCAAGATGACCAGATATTTGGAGCTCATCTGGCCCAGCCCAGAGTTGGGGGTCAGGGGCCTGCTGTCCTTACAGCCCTGGAATAGATAGGACTAGGGCAGTGAGGGCAGGCCCTGGGGGAGTCACCAGCCTACAGACTAATCCTCCTCTCCTCCACAAGAATCGTACCTACAGGAGAACCTACAATAAGACACCATCTGCTTGTAGCTATTGACCCCAGAAAACAACGGGATAGTGAGCGGGCTGGGAGAAGGCTGCTCAGCTCCAAAGTATTTGGTGTCTACCTGTGCAACCC